ATATTTTAATTGCCTAAAGCTTTTATTTTCTTTTGCTTGGATCTGGTTGAGCTCATTTTGCTTGAAAAAAAAAAATGCCAAACGAAAACAATTATTTATTAAAATAAAAAAAAAAATATATATTATTTCATACAAAGATAAAAAGTGGGGGAAAAAACAACAACAAAAAAGAATCCAGTGCTGACACACTTTACGGGTGACATTTTTCACTTTTGCTGTTGCCGCGTATGTTATCTGAGTTGACTTCGCGCTGCTCATACAAATTTAATTAAAGAATTTTCCACTGTTTTTCCCTGACAAACAAAATAAATAAATAAATAAAACGGGCAAGGGAAAGGGAAAGGGAAAAAGCAGCAGCAGCAGCAGCAGCAGTGAAATCAAAAAGATTTATTTACCAAGTGCAAATTTATTTTCATTTCCCCCACTTAATGACTTTATGCAGGCGAAACCCGCGAGCAGACAGCATCGGAGACATAACATGTGTCGTAAGTCCAACCCCATTCCACCGGGCATATCAGCTTTCCTACCCCCTACCCCATTCTGGTGCAGCAGAGCCAAAGCCTGACGTCGAGACGTCCCTTAAATAAAGGTGCAGCCGGCCTCACTTTCAGTCGCACAGCTGCTGCTCTTCTCGACTTGCAGCGGGCCATGTGAGATGTGCTAGTATAATGTCCCATCCTCTACATTACTGTTCTTCAAGTTTACGTTAAATGCATTCAACAACTTCCCAACATCTCCTCTCCCTATCGCTTTCCTTCTTTTCCTTAGACAATACATGCTTGTCTCTGTATAGTCTCTCCCTCTTTCGTATAAATATCTGTAGACGGCAACACGTATTAGCTAAAGATATTTAAGCTTCCATGTAATACGTGTAGTTGAGAGTTTTCCTCTCTCACTCTCTCGGTTTCCCCCTCTACCTATTCGCTCTTTTCTGAGAACTGCTTGACTGCTTTTCTTCCACATTTGGAAAATGTAATTTCCACCTTATTTCGTTCCATGTAATTATTTCCCTGCTTTTCCATTTTTTTCCTTCTTCTTTGCTACAGCGCGCAACAGTTGTTGTGCTGCTTCTTCTTTTCTGCTTTTTCTAAATACAATTTTTTTTTTTAGAATTAATTTCCTAATGGGTCGAAAATTGTATTAAAGATCTGC